TTTGAGTATAACCGGCGATCCATATTCCCCCTTCTACCCATGTAATATAATCCAGGACGACTCAGAGGAACCTTATTTCGAGTTTGTTGATGCTCTCACCAATTTTCTTAGGGCCGAAGACACAATCAACGAGCTGGAGCAGTTACGAATCGATTTCATCACTGCCCTCACAGGAAATCAGACCTGTCGCCTCACATGGTTGTTTCATGACATGAAGCTCCTACGTTCCCTCACATTCTACGATAATCTTATCTACGACGGTTCATGTGCCTTCATTCCCTGGATCGAAAGGAGGCATGGCGCCAACGCTCTCAAACCCAATCCAATCGAGGCGGATTTCTCGTGCGTTCTCGGCAGAACGAACTTGGACGCTGTGGCAGCCGATAAATCCCTGCCAAATCTCAGAGATCTGAAGATCGTTCTTTATCGTCCGAGCTCTATGGAACCTCACAACGCCCAGATGAAGATGATTAGGCTCTTCCACCGTTTCACTATGGATCATGCAGGCGACTTGCAGGGCTCGTTTCATTCCGCTGTCCTCGAGTTCCTGCCGCGTTTCCCCTCGAATGGGCCGGTCCGACGATTGCCATTAGGTGCGCTCGACGAAACGAGGCGGATCCAGCAGCTGAGGGAGATAGACTCGGCGAGGAGGACGGTGGTGAAGGTGATTATCGAGGGCTGGGATGTGGTCGAAGACGACGTTACGAGTTGCTTCGCCTTGGTACGCGCGATATCTTGGGAATGGAGGCGCCGAACGGTGCGGAAGCACCTGTTTATGGTTGGTATATGCATCCTCTTTGCGGTGCTGATGGCAGCGGACCGATTTTTGGTAGCGTTGCATAAGGGATCACTGGCTATCAGGAGAGGGATGGGGTACAGCAAAGCCAAGGGGGCTCATTCGAACGCAGCATAGTACCTACACCGAGGAGGCGCATTCATGCATCATGTCTCACGATTCTCTATTAGTTTCACCTAACACCGACTGCACAATATGACAGGTCCGAGCTTACAGGTACTTATCTTAAGAGTTGATATCGGATCAACCGTTGGCATACATCTCATATCCAGGATATTATTATAGTACTTACTGCTACCTTTCTCAGTCTCGAGTTCACCAGTCACTCAGTCACTCAGATTTTCAACGGTGACTACGATCGTTAGGACAAGGACACAACTACAGTAACAATCACGCTGATGCTCTATCCTACACATCCCAGACTACGCCACCTCGAAGCGCAGTGAGGCTGGTGCAGCAAGGGAAGCAAAGGGCTTTATAGCTATAACACCGATGCGGATCAAGCGTCTATTTGCGATGGACACGACTGGGGCAACGGTTCCGGTGTAGCAAAAACACACACGGTACGATCGCGATGCACATATACACGTCAAACACTGATTAGCGAGAAGCGAGGAGGCAGACGAGATGGAGGGATGGTATCCGGATAGTAGTCTCTATAACAAAACCCGATACGCAAGAGAACCGTTCTTCACAACACTCTCGGTGTTCACTCTTGCTACTGTACAGGAGAACACGTCAGCGAAAGGAAAGCAAATAGTTCGGGAGGGTAGCTACCTCAAACATAGAAACTAGACCTCCGCTCTAGAACGTCCCCCACAGGCTACATCTTGATCTTCCATAGCCCAGCTTCATTTTTGCCCTTTCCCATAGGTGAGACAAAGATAGCACAACGACCCACAGTGGCAGGTGCTTATCCTGCACGAGGCACCCCCCATACCATCCCGATGCATCCAAAGGAACTCGAGGAGCACTCGCCCTCCTTCTCGCCGTAAAACGCCTTCAGGTGAACAGCATCGAGCACGAAAAGAAAGACGACACTGTACATCCCCACTGCCCGCGAGCATCGAAACAAATACTGCCTACGGATTACTCGTCCGATACCAAGCGTCACGACGGCGATGACTTGACTACCACGGAAGCCATCGACAGCACCATTCCCGCCAATCTGGCGGGTACGAAGCCAATAGGAGAGCCGCGAAGAGATGGTAGGACCATGTACCACCAATACCCAGTAGTTTGTTCAACGGCAGTCTGGGTATCCGATGGCAATGTCATGATGAGACGGGATACCACCCTTTGGAGCTCAAGCGCATATGCAATAAGACTGAGCAGCACAGATTTAGGGTCGACACGTGGAAAGAACCCGCTATTGATCAAAGAAATGACCGTCATTCTTCGATACGACGAGGACCAATATGTGGCTTTAATGGTCAAACCATAACACGACACTGCGCAAGTCGTCCAAAGTACCATACCCACTGGGCCAATGGATACGAAGGCATTCAAATGAGTTGGAGTTTGTGAGTTGGAGTTTGGTATGGGTCTATCCAACAGCGACCTCAAGGCCTCGGATGTCCACCAACAACTGCCAGAGAAATAAGCAACACCATCGGCATCACTCGTAGGCTGTTCGCTCGTGAACCGCGGGCGCCTGGTTGAGCGTATGTGCTACACCAGAGAGGAGGGTGGAGCTCGAGTGGTGGGTTTCCACACAGGAAAAAGATCCACAAGCGATGTAATAAGGGAGTTGATTCGAGAAGATATTGTTCGAACGGACTGCTGGGATAATACGGCGATAGGAGATAAATTTCGGGTGTTCAAGGTGCATACCGATATAATCCGGTGGATACGAAGGCAGTGGGGACTCAGAGTAGTCTGGGTCCGATAGATCCCGTTCGCTCACGAGAGCTCAAAATCGCGGATGGTCAGCGGTTCGGGTGCCCACTGTCACCTGCCAGACAAGTTAACAGCGCCATCAGGGTTACTCTCGAGCTGTCGACCAAAAAACGACAAGCGGGTGGTCGAGCGTATGTGCTATCCGAGAGGATGGAATTGGGATGGCCATTGGATTCTACACAGGAATAGGGCCGCGACTCTGGATCCTTCGAAACGACTCTCGGGATTACATCGTGACAGGAGATAGGTGTCGGGCATTCGAAACGTGTGGAGATAGGGATGCTTCAGTATTGGTCTGCAGCGGGAGCCGGCCAACAACCTCGGCTTGCGTTGATCCTTTTCTTTCACCCCATCCGAAGTGCTCAGAGGCCAGACTGTAAGCGCATAAAGTTGGACAGGTAAGACACTTTATACCTGGCGCGTGCGGCTTAACACCCTCTCCCATTGCCCAACTTTAAGCCTAGGGTCCTTCCAGAGACCGCCTGGCCACGTTTCAAAGGCCTTTGAAGGTTGACGGCCACTACTACGAATTCGCAGATGACCAACCAAAACTGGTGAACGAAGAAAGCCTAGAGTCAGCTAACGTGCTACAGGCGGTGGGCTTGGACGTACGGTGACTGGCGTATCCAGAAGATCTACCCAAAATGTAGACAGCAGGAGCGACGAGAGCTTTCAAAGGAGCTGGCAAGGATCGCAACGTCGAAAAGTAGCGGACCAGTGAATGACTGTCTGTCGTTCGTGGGTCCCTACTACCTGATCATTGAGTCCTCGATGGATTTTTGGTGTTGGGTAGGTCTCCGCCCGCGCTTTAGCAATCATAGGCCGTCGTAGACGACGAATGTGGAACATGGTCTTCTTTAGGCTTGTGTACGTGGTCCTCCTTAAAATATTGCTGGAGGTCTCGTAGGTCGAATGGGGCGTAGAGCACCGACAGAGGTGTGTTGCTGGAAGCACATATACATACGGTGAGTTAGAGTCAGAAAACAAATGCAGCGACGACATAGAGCGTACCTAGACCCCACTGAGCACATTCTACCATCCTCATCTCCTACTTCCAAAGCCCATCACTAATCGCAGCTCGCAGCTCAAAGCTCTTGACTCCATCGATATCGCCAAATGGTCCTGGGGAAGGGCATCATTCATCAACTCGTAGCAGTAAATAACATGACAACGTTACCTTCAGCCCATTTGTATGACCTGCCTTCAATTCGTCCATGGCGGCTGAATGAACTTCGTAGTTCAGTAAAGTATTTAGTATCGTGTGAAAGCAGCATCTTTCACTTCTATCAAGACCTTGATGTCGTTTGAAGGGTGGGATTACTCGAGCCTTGATGACGGGAGGAGGGGAACGAGAATCGTCACATTGCTGTGACAAGTACACCGTCACTCTATAATAGACCGGGCCGGGAGATGGTTCCCTTGGGCCTTTCGATGTCCTTGCCTTCCTCCTCCATCATGCCAATTTCTGACCGTTCAAATACCCTATCGTTATGCTCTTATACCGTGAGAGGCACTCAATACACAGAGGAGAGGCTCATATATGCTCAGCGTGCTCTGAAAACTGCAAATGGTACGGTCGCTCCGTTTCCGAGTCCCGACAGTCATTTTTCCAAACCGTGGCTTACCTATCTATATTCGCTAGCCCCGAGGTGACAGGATAGACACAAAATATAACCATAATTACCATAGGCTACTTGCCTCCACCCGCCGAGCGATTGAATTCAAGCTCCCCCTCCCCCCCTCCGATACAGACACGTTAGAATTGGATGGGCTATCCTTCGCTGCTCTAGTTCCTCGTATCTTCGCTCGATGTGCCTCTCAGTTCTAACACTCACAAGATGATCGTCAGGAGTCCAGGAACGTTAAGTTAGTATCTCACCTTTCCTCCCGAAAGGCTCGTCGAGGAGGTGGGTAGGATGAGTTTCTTGCCACTCGAGGGGCGACAGGGTGTACAGTCAACCTGACTCTAATCGCATAAATCAGAATCCGGGAAGAATGTAGACTAGATTAAGGACATGGATGAGGCTCTCATAGACCACTAGTGATGATAGTACCATTAAAAGAGTTGATATTCATTGCGATACGGTCAATGAGCCTCAGGTAAGGCCAGGTCGAAGCAGAAAGGTGAAGGAGGGTTCATTTCAGTAAGATGTGGATGCACTTGAACGATTAAAAGTACTTTATTTCCCATAAAAATTGGAACGAGATATGTAGATTACTAGCCCAAACAGCTGTTGGCAGTGTCCTGGGATTGTGTGTTACCTAGAAATCCCACCTATATTGGTGAGATGTGATAACGATAATCTCCCTGGTAGTATATCGGTGAGTACACGCGCCTGTCATGTGTCTGTCCATCCTAGTTGCGCGCGAAAGCTGGGTTCGACTCCCAGCCAGGGAGGTTCCCTGGTGTTAATACATTTTGGGGTGTTTGACTCACCACGTTCTTCTCAGTATATACCCCCAACCAGCCCACGACTCCTCTTAAGAAACACTATGTAACATGTTTGTTGAGCAGACGCTTTCGAATACCGTGAAGCTACAAAGAAGTCAGACCTATCACAATCCTACCATCTTTTCCCTGCGCAGGTACCATCAAATTACCCACATCTCTCGTTTCGAATAGCGTTCGAGAGATGGCCACTCAGCGACCTGGCGCCCACCAGCGCCCATTTACCCTACTACGGCCCGGATCTTTCCGCCGACAGAACTTGATGACGTGATTTTCCAGCACCTTGCTTCTTTCGCCCAAACCACGACGAAGACCTGTTATCCCCATGTGAACTTGTTTTCTTACATTCAGCGTTGGAATCAACACCGTTCCTGGGCTCTAACTTCTCGAGTGCGTCGAACTTCAATGCGTCATGGAGCTCTCAATGCGGGTGATAATCGATAATCGTCGCCCTTTTTGCAAAACGCTCGTTCCCTCAGCTCAGCCTGCCATCGAACTGATAAATGAAGCAAGTGGTGAGTCTTGGTCTATCTTTTTCGTCGTTGACATTGCTCGTTGACTCTTTTTGTAAGTGAAATCCCTCTTGCCTCATCCTCGGGTGCTGAGAATCTTGGGCGTCTATGGGCTGAGAATGGATGAGAAGGTCGAGAAGGGTTGCGAATGTCTTCTTTCTCAAGTGCGCACCATCTCGTCCACTTCTTTCAGAGACGGTTTCTGTTTATTTTCATAGTTTCGTGGCTCAAGATCAGGGTAGAACTATCTACAGTCGTATCTTCCAACCTCTTTCAACTGTCAGACTCAGCCAGGAATACCCAACAAGTGACATGTTGGAGCTCCATACGCGTACGAGCTGAACTTCCGATCGACGTCGACACCGAGAGCCAGAAGAACACTACCTTCCCGCTCGCTACCGGCCGTGAAGAGTTTCTGAAGGGCACTTCGTGGTCCTTGGAAGTCGGGCGAGGGATGTAGACTATTTTAATGGCCCTTTGAACTCAGTTACGATATGACGAATTGTTTAAGTGCAAAGAATACAGGTTCGTGCTATCGCTCTATTCCGTCTGGTCCGAGTTTGCTCACGTTGTCTCGGTTTTTTCTTACCCCAGTAAAGGAACAGGAACGAACGAAGCTCCACGAAACCCGAAACTAGCTATGTTATTGGAGTATTGCTCTGACTCTGGCCCTTGGAGTTTTCCCTTGGGTTTCAGCTTGCAAACGTAGCCTTCGAACTGCAGTAGTATCTGGACCTTGAATCTGGGGTCCGGTCCTTACCCCATTTTCGCTTTTACCACCTCACTGCTTGACTATGCTCCCGACCGCCACCATCTTGACCACATAGCGATCTCTCTCACTTCCTTCGACCGTGGTACTTGACTTCGCGGTCAGGAAGGAAGCGAGACGGACCTTTGCGCAGAATTATGACACATGATTCTCATTTAATCGATGCGTACTGGAGCATTTCGGCGTTCTTGCCTCCGTTGTAAGAAGTTCCGTTCGGCTTCCTTTTTCCGTTAGTACCTTCACCTGGGGAAGATATCGGCAAATGTCTATGTTCATGGCGGAACGCTCCGATTGTCATGTACCTCGAGCGAACTAGTTCAATTCGATCAGTACGGATCCCGGGCCCGATTATTCCAGCGGGCGTACGTGCCTACGCTCTCTCCGAATCGTTGGTTTGATTACCGATTGCCAATGAGCTCCTCGTTTGTCGATGCCCAGGGTCGTTCTTTCCTCTGTTCTCAAGCACTCTTCGGCAGGATTCCGAGCACCGTCGTTCGACAGGAATTGATTATTCTGGATTTGAACCTCTATGTGCGATGTGTGCCACCGTCACTACAATGACGGGCATCGTCGAACTTTCCAGCGAATCCTTGTCCGGGAAGTGTAGCCAGGCGTACCGTGTAGTCTCCATCCGACACATGTTTCATTCGTCATTCAGAATGCTGGCGGGGCAACACAGGGTCGTATCTAGGAACCGTTTGGAATCGTCCCTTGTTCCCTTGGCAAGCGTTTCTAATATGCAGCTGTTAGCTGTGTTGTGGGCTGGTGTAGGGCCTGGCTCCTTGTGAGGGCGTTTCGTTCTCGTTCTTTAGACTCTATCGTTTTCTGAAACCGACAATAGTAGCCGACGTGCCCTAACGCTCGGTTCCGGATCTTGGTGCCAGTCCACACCTTCCCACCAATGCCGCGAGTGACCGGCGAGCCCCATTTGGGTGTTTGAATGCCTCTTTGGGCGCTGGACTCGGGTAAGCTCTTCGCTAGACGCATCTCCAGGAATTCCAGAAACTGAAAACTGACAGCAGAAGTGAATTAGACTTGACAGAAACAACCGAAACCCCCTAGCTTAATCGTAATGGCATACGTCTAGCATTCGGTCATCAGTTCGAGGATTGAATACTGAAGAGGCCCAGATTTTTTTGGATTCTGTCACTGGGCAGCCGCGACTCGCAGGGAGACGGCTTGAATTCAGTGTTCATATACCCCAATGTGGTTTAGCTCTCAACATGCAATTCACTTGAACTTTTAGGCTCGGGAGTCTCTGTGGGTGGCTGACGAGGACATACAGTGTCGCGTTTTGCTAGTGGCTGTCGCTAGGCTGGGAGAAATGGTTTATAAATTGAAGCAGACGGTCTGCGGAAGGGTAAACGCATGTATGGGAGGTATAGAAGGATTCAATGAATGAGGATGAGAATCAACAGAATTATGAGAGAATCTGCCAGCCGGCGTGCCTTCTGACAGAAGGTTCGCGTCAAAACTTGGTTTACTCGTTATTTGCGGTGATCTTCTCCCGACTCGATCTCATCTTGACCTACACAACTTTCGTTGGTGCAGAGCGCGCTTCCCCAGTTAGCCCGCTGCGCAGGAATCTGCGCATCCCGAGCCCTCGTCATATCAGAGGACCACTCAATTGATCCGGGGAGAAAGCTCCGATGTAGCTTACGACCCTGGAAGAACCAAATCCAAACGTCCCTGAATGCTCAGTGCCCGATTTATCGCTGTCCTCTGTGGGGCGTTGACATAGGCGGAAATACCTCTTTACTGTTATTATCGGTTCATATATTCGAGATTGGACTTCCTATTGGACCCCGCAGGATACTTCGTAGGTCACCGATCCACATATACCCCGCAGTTCGGAAGCGTCTGTCCTCCTTCCGTCTTAGTGAAAGATGTTGATATTGGTTTGTTCTTTTTCTGTTCTTCACGACTCATAGGGTACTTACACTCGGTTTCCGGAGATGGGTATCACGTCAAAACTGTCTATTCAAGTCCAAATTTCGCGCCACATTCAGGTTACCCACACATCCACGAACTCCATTCTGGGCACCAGGGTCGAGACGAATGGCAAGGAAAGATGGTGGAGCCACCTTGGACCTCTTGACAACGAACGGCCTCCGACTCCGCACGGACGGTTGGCAACGAAACAAAGAAAGCCGCTTGGAGTTGGAGCGACGGGATTCCGGACCAGGCGCGACCACCAGACATTTTCAGAGATGGATACACTCCAGTACATCAATCGAGTGAGATACGATTGTTGATCAGAGTTCTTCCCGAAACACGATCGTCTCACTGAATTGGAACATTCTAAATGGGCTGTAGGCTCGGACCTGTCGCGGATTGCAGATTCGAAGTAGGTGGGAGACGTTTTGTATGAATCGAAAATTTTCACCGGCCCATTACAGGTTACATCCAGGGTACTTCGTGATGACAGCGGCCCGCAAAACTCGCCGGGCCTTGGGAGCAAGCCTTGTGAACAGGAATATCACTGACAACTTGAACTTCTCATGCCACGCCCTATCAATGTTGCACTGGAAGATGGAGTAATAGTGGATTGGGGAATCAAGCCAATAGTAGACTAAGTAGTACATACAAAGGAGACATAATAATATACGTACAGTAGGAGAGCTTCGATTGATTCTACACACGGGGACTCTATAGTAATAGTCATTCCCTATTTTCAAGTGCGCTCCTCAACCTCCCGGAAAATCTTTCCCCCGTTTTTCCCCTAGTCCCCACAATCTCCACCCACGGATTATATCGTACACCAGGGTCGGGTGAACCCATCAATTAGGGGAGCGGATGCGATAACCACAGCAAAATGATAATGGACGAAGAATGGACGAAACAATGGGTGATGGATGCTATATGTGGCCAAGAATGGGCCCATGGTGATGATCGGGCAACCAGGTTACTGTGGCTGTTAAAGTAGAGTCTCGATGTTATCTTCTAGACTCACGGGCCCAACGGAGAATGACACACCTTAGTAGGGTTCCACAGTCAACTCATCCCTTGAAGGGACAGCCGGGAGCATGGTCGCCACGCCAACTACATTCAGCACATTGAGGGGCATCGTGGTGGCAGGTCAAAGCTGCTGTTTGGTCGCTCTGGTGCGACACTGGAGGATTGGTTGCAAAGCGGATTGATGAGGAGAAGGAGTTGGTGGCCACAGTGCACATTGTGAAGATGATTGCTAGTGAAGAGCTAGTGAAGAGCGTCCGGTCGAAGGTCGCGATTTGCAAGGGGGAGACTAGAATGCTCGATGATAGCCTCTAGAAACTTTTGTCGAGTTTTTATACTCGAACGAGGGATATCCACGGCATCTTGACAATAAGGTGGCGGTTGTTCACATCTTGCTGTTGTGTTTCATAAGCGCCGAGCACTTACTCGATTTGGTTTGGATTAATCGGTGAATGGGGAAAGAACGGCGATTCCGAACCAGTTCATTTCGGACTGAATGTGGCGACCATGCTTATTAGCGAAGAATGTCGCTTATGTCCAGACTCCAGACTTGTGGTATAACGTTCTCCCCACCCCCAGCCTCAGAACTTCTGCAGATAGATGCCATACCAGATTGAGCAGGTACCAGGTATCTAGCCTTATCAAATCAGGAGAAAATAGAGCACCCGAGTCCGCACACGAGACACGAGCGCCGAGCCCAGGCCAGCGTCCCG